TATTAATACATGGCCAAAATAATCAGCATTCATTGCATTTTTCAAACATAGAAAAATAACGTAGAAAACATCAATGTTAGAATCCACTTGTTGGTGTATATCCAAAAAATCCTGCTGAGATTTGGATTGGACCTCTGTTGACCATGTAGAATGGTTTGGGGAAGATTATCTTCATGATGTTGAAACTTCCTGTCTGTGAACATAACATTTCTCTCCCATTTATTTAGCCTTTCTTTGATTTCTTTCATCATTGTTTTCTGTAGTTTTTAGCATGCTAGCCCTGCACTTATTTTGCTAGATTTATACCTAAGAGTTTTATAGGTCTTTTTTTTTTATATATATATTTTGTAAACAATCATGTTATCTGCAAGTAAAAAGTTTTATATTATTTATGAACTTTCTTTTATGTCTTTTCTTATTGTAGTAAGACAATGTGATGTTAAATAGGAGTGGGAATGATCATTCTTGTCTTGTTCTGGCTTTTAGGGGGTAGAGCCTTCAGTCTTTGACCATTAAAGGTGATGTTAGCTGTAGGCTTTTTTGTAGATACCTTTTATCAGATTAAAGATATTCTCAGTTTGCAAAGAGTTTTTACCTTCATCGAATGTTGAAGATCAGATAATTTTTCTGTATCTATTAAGATGATCTGTCATTTTCATCTTTAATCACTTGATATTGTGAATTGCTATCATTGATTGTTAAGTATTGAAACACACATACATTTCCAGGATAAACCTTATTTGTTGATGTGTTATCTGTTCTGTATACTTCTGGATTCAACTTGCTAATATTTTATTGAGGATTTTTGCAGTTATGTTCATGAGAGATTTTGGTCTATGAATTGTCTTAACCTAAAAATAAAAGGCCAAAGTGAATAGCAACAGGCATTTATTTGGGATCAAAGAAGAACAGCTATTTGGGAAGCGCTGATTCAGGCAGAAACCCAAATAGCATTCCAATTAGGAGACAAAAAAGCTGAGGGTATTTATAAGAAAGGTGAAGGGGACAGTTAAATCAGTAGAAGGAAGATATTTCTGTTGGTGCAGATAAGCTAACATAGTGATGCTAATTCTAAACAGTGTTTTTAATCTTCAGTCTGGTAGTCATCAGTCCTGTAGTCATAATATCTGCTTTCTTGTTATCTTTGCAAATAGTTGTTTGAGACACATTGTTGCTTTAGGCCCAGTCCAAAGGTTATTTTGCCCTGTTTAAACATTCCAAAGATTTGAGGCATAAGTACAAGGCAGTTCCTCTGGGATGGCAGCTCCTGCTCCATTTCAAAGTGGCTCTTTTTATACTTTTTTTTTTTACAGTTGAGTTTTTGGTAATATTTTGGTCTTTGGTTTAGGGTAGTTCTGTTCTCTCAAAATGAGTTGGAAGGTGTTCTCACCTCTGTTTTCTGGAATAATTTGTGTAGAATTGGTATATTTCTTCCTTGAATGTTGGATATAAGAAAACCTGGAGTTTTATTTGTTGAAAGACTTTTAACAACAAATTCAATTCCTTTAATATATCTAGGACTGTTCAGATTATCTATCCTTTGAGTGAATCTAGGTTTTTGTGTCTTTTAAGGAATTTGTTTCATTTTAAGTTGTTAATGACATTTTAAATACCAAAAAAAAAAAAAAAATTTATATTGAATAGACAGTTGTAGGTGGTTACACTATTACATTCTGCCATGTTCATCTTTTGGTAGCTGGATCTTATCCATTGTACCAAAACTTTTAAACCTGAGAAGCAGCATAATGTAGTGAATAAAAGACTCAAATCAGAGTGAGTTACTTCTGCTTCAATACCTCATCTAAAAAACTTGCAAATATAATAGTAACTACCTTATAAACTTAAATGACATGATCCATGCAAAGTGCTTGGTAAACACTAATTTCAGTTAATCCTGTTTTTGTCATCATCTTCATCATTGTTATCTCTATGGTATCCAACAACCCATCACTGATTTTGCTTAAAACTTTTTAATGTTCCAGACTATAAAAACTTTTTAAATTGACATTTTTTAACCTTTTTAAGGCCTTGTCAATTACATGGCCTCTACCTAGGAACATCTTTGTTCTAGCTATATGCACCTTTTTCATCCGTCTCTGTCTTCTGAAAATCAGATGTGTACTTAGATGCACACATACACACAACATATATATACAAACACATACAACTATTTCTTTTTCTTTCCGTTATTTTAGTTTCCACATTAGAGAAATGACAGTGCTAGTAAAATGGACAAGATGAAAATAAGTCGAAGCTTTTGTTTTTGCCAAGGCTGATTGATCCCTTAATTCAGCAAATATTTGAATGTGCATTTAAAAATCATCTGGAAAGCTTGTTTAAATAGTATTTCCTGGGCCTCATTTCCAGAGTCTAACTTAGTCGTTCAGAGAGGGGCCTATGACTGTGCATTTCCGACAAAATCACTGGTGTACTGCTTTGAGGAACACTGCCTGAACGTAGTCAGAGATTACTGTGTAGTGGTTGGAAAACTCAAGACTGGGCATGCTATTTAACCGCTTAGGTATATATTACTGATTCATCTGTTTATCAAACATAGCCTTTATTCTCTTAAAATATGCCTCTCAGTATACCTGTTGATATTTTTTTCTCTCACTTATCTTTGAACTAAAATTTCCTAAGATATAGTCAAGTCTCATGTTATTAAAAACATTAGGCCATTCTTCCCCTCTTCCTTTCTGTATTTTTTACTAATTTGTGACTTTATAGACACAATGTGTCCGTTTTCTTCATTATACCTAACTGCATCTTATTTCTTCACACATAGAAATTTTCTTTCTTTTTTTAAAATTTTATTTAACTTTTTAATGTCACCAACATTTGACCCCTTTTACCCCATCTATCTCCCTCCTACCCCCCCCAACCTCCACCCATCCTCTGGTCACCGCTCATCTGTTGTCCATGTCCATGAGGCTCTGTTTGTCCTGTTCATTTGTTGCTTTTAGGTTTGTATCCCACATATAAGTGATATCATGTGGTTTTCAACTTTTTCTCTCTGGCTTATTTCACTTAGCATGAGAAATTTAATAATTTTATTCTACTTTTGTCTAAAGAAAAACTTTCTTACAAGGAAATATTTATAGGTAGGGTAGCTTTGAATCTTTAAATGCATTAAATTATACATGAAAATATATTTTTTCTTTTTTTCCCCACTTCCCTTCCATCCCTAACCTTTGGCAACCACCAGTCTATTCTCTGTATCTATGAGCTTGGTGGCTTAGGTTTTTGCTTAGTTGGTTGGCCTAAACTCTACATGCAGAAGAGATCGTAAGGCATTTATCTTTCTCTTTCTGACTTATTTCATTTAACTTAATTCCCTCTAACTCCATCCATGTTGTCACAAATGCCACTGGAATTCTGAAAGGGATTGCATTGAATCTGTAGATTGCTTTGGGTGGTGTGGACATTTTAACAATATTGATTCTTCCTATTCATGAGCACAGAATACCTTTCCATTTATTTGCTATATTTTCCAATTTCTTTCACGAATGAAAGTCTTGTAGTTTTCAATATATACAGGTCTTTTACCCCTTGGTTAAATTTATTTCTGATATTCTTTCTGGTGTAATTATAAATGGGGTTGTTTCTTAATTTCTCCTCCTAACAGTCGATTATTAATGTATAGAAATGATTTTTGTGTATTGATTTTGTACTTTGCAATTTTACAGAATTCATTTACTCTTACAGTTTTTTGATATAGTCTTGAGAGTCTTCTGTATATAATATGTCACCAACAAATACCAGCAGTTTTACTGGATGCCTTTTATTTCCTTTGATTATCTAATTCCAGTGGTTAGGACTTCCAATACTGTGTTGAATAAAAGTGGTAAGAGTGGGCATTCTTGTTTTGTTCCTGATCTTAGAGCTTTTCCTCTAAAATCATCTTCAGATATGATGTTAGCTGCGGGTTTGTCATATATGACCTTTATTATATTGAGATATGTTCCTCTTTCTCCGCTTTGTTGATTTTTTTATCATAATTGGGTGTTGAATTTTGTCAAATACTTTTTCTGCTTCTATTGAGATGATCATATGTTGTTTATCCTTCATTTTGTTAATATGATGTATCATCCTTGCATGCTGGCATAAATCTCACTTGATTGCGGTATTAAAAGGATTGTGATTCTTTTAATGTATTGTTTAATTCAGTTTGCTAGTATTTTGTTGAGGATTTTTGCATCTGTTTATCAGGGATATTGGTCTATAAGAGTTTGGAAGAGTTTCCTCCTCTTCTGTTTTTGGAGAATTTTGAGGAAGATTTGTACTAGTTATTCTTTGAATGTTTGGTAGAATTTACCAGGGGAGTCATCTGGTCCTGAACTTTGGTTTGTTAGAAGGTTCTTGATTACTGATTCAACCTTCTTGTAATTGATCTGTTCAGATTTTCTATTTCATCATGATTCATTCTTGGCAGGTTGTTTGTTTCTAAGAATTACCCTCTTCGTCTAAGTTGTCCAGTTCGCATATCATTGTTTATAGTTATCTGTTATGATCCTTTGTATTTCTGTGGTATCATTTGTAACAGTTCCTCTTTCAATTCTGATTTTATTTGAGTCTTCTCTTTTTTTCTTGGTAAGTCTAGCTAAAGGCTTGTCAATTTTATCTTTTCAGAGAACCAGCTCTTGGTTTCTTTATTGTCTTTTTAGTCTTAGAATAATTTATTTCTGCTCTAATTTTTGTTATTTCTTCCTTCTACTAACTTTGGGCTTCATTTATTCTTTTTCTAATTCCATAAGGGTAAAACTGGGTTGTTTATATGAGACTTTTATATGTTTTATCTATATTCAACCTATATATTGTGATTATATTAAATGATTAAAATATTAATAAGCTTAAGGTGTTTAAACGAAGAAGTGTGACTCTTTAAATTTTTATTAAGCTATTTTCAGTAGAACTTTAGAATAGTATAATTTTGCTTTCGTTGTTGTTGTTATAGCAGAGGTCTATGCTATGAAACATTTATATCTTCATTTCTATTTTAGGTGCGTATAGCAGCCAAGTTCATCATTCATGCCCCTCCTGGAGAATTTAATGAGGTATTTAATGGTGAGTGTTTAAGTCATAACACTAATCGATATATCAAGTACTCTTTTTGTAAAGAATAAATTATGTAACCAAAATAAGCAAAGGGGAATATATAGGAAATTCTGTATTTTCTGAGTTACAGTGAAAATATTTGTCAATCTGGATTTTGTAATGGCTAGAATATAATGTAGTTATGGTATATGTGATAATAATGTTTGACTAAATTAACACTCTTAAGAGAATAATATTAAATCATTTAAAAAGATAAGAAAACTTCAATTTTAATTATTTTTTAGAATTGTTGCATGCATTTTTGTATTTCTTGTAAAGAAAAACATACTGGATTTATATGAACAGTCAAAGGGGGTGGAGTATTATTTCACCATGCTTATTTAGCAGATGATATTATAATTTAAATTTGTTATTTAAATTATATCTTATAAATTAGTTTACAGTATGCTTTTCTTTAAGCTTCACTGGCAAACATTTTAATAATTATTCACCTATATATCAGAAATTAAACTGTTCTATAGTCTCCCGGTTGCTGTAAAAACTGTAACAATAGCTCCACTTTAACAATAAGAATGACATGGTTCACATAATCGCCAGGAAAATGGCCTGTGGTGATTTTTTTTTTTTTTTTTTACAAAACTTAAGTAGTTTTAAGAATAAGCTACCACAAGTACATTAAATGTGTTATTTCTAATTCATATATATTTGGCCTTCACCATGCCTTAAATTAAAATTAATTTGTGCAGGGCTTTTTAGTTTCATTTTTTAAACATGTCTATTAAGTTTAATCACTCATTTTTATTCATAGTATAAGATATAATGGAATCTCATCTCAGAAAAGATTAGATTTGAAAGTCAAAATAGGAAGCAAAAATTATATAAAGTTAAAATTACTCTTGAAAATTCTTTAAGTCATCCACAAATTATAATAATATATGATTTTGTATATGCGATTACATATGGTAATTCTTACGCATTTAAAAATTTAACCACTGAGCTACATTAGAGGAAGAATGGCAAGTCTACATTGTAAAAAAAATTGGAAATTAAAATAATTCTGCCTTTTAAGATAATAAAATCTGTAGCAGTGAATTGGAAAGTTGGGGAGAATTCAAAAGTACTTCTTTTGTAGGGTTTAACTTGTGCTTTACTATTCAGCTTCTATAACCTAAATACACGACTAATATATTTGATAGTCGAGGCATTAAAGAAGATACAGCCTCTTGTGAGGTTCAAAAGTTGGGCATGAAACTTAAATTGATAATGGTGAAACTGCATTAAAGTTAGTAGCCCATATAGACTTCTGCACAATTCATAGAGCCAAAAGTAAGTTACAATTCTAAGAAAGTTTTCACAGAATGTTTTTACTCTGAATTAAAATGCCCTACAAATCTGTTACTCAGAAAGGTCCTAAAAGAATGTAGGAGTCCTAGAAATTGCTTTTCTAAGTCTCATTGAAATCGCTGTTAAATGTTCTGCATTGAGGTACAGTAAATTTGGGCATTTAAGATAAGCCAGTAAGTAGGCCTGGAATGGAGAATGAGCTGTGGAATAGAAGTGGGTTATAGGATGTTATATAAGTTTTGACAGAGGAGTTGAAATTTTCGAGTTAAAAAGGAATTAAATATTTGAGGGGGGAATCTCATATGAATTTGATTATTTTCATTCTATTTTTGTTGATAACATTGGCATCAGAATAATTCCAAGAGAAGCCACAAATTTTAGAATTTCAGTCTTAAAATCTTGTCAGTTCAGTGTTCCCCAATGTTATTTCCTGGACCAGCTACATCAGAATCATTGAAACATAGATTTCTGGTCTTTATTCTCAGAAACTGATTTTTGGTAGATCTGTCTGGCCTGGGACTCTTTTTAAGCCTCCCACCCACTACCCTATGATTCTGATATGTAGCCTGGCTTGGAACCATAGCCTAATCCCTTCTTTAATAGTGTTTTTTTATTTTATTCAAATTCTTCTCTATCTTTATATTTCTTACACTGTACTCTCCTTATGATAAAAACAAGAGATTGATTTTAAATCAGATCCTACTACTGAAAAGAGGTATGTGAATAGGCAATATTTTTTCTTTTGGAATAACTATTATTTTTGTAAAAATTATTGAATCAATTTTGTATTGTAAAATACAAAAAAAAAAATCATGCAGAATTCTACCCTCCACTTCTCCTGTTTGAATGAAATGCTTCTAACATCTCAATTTATACACATACATAACATATAAATATGATATTATCCATGCTGAGTTTCCCCTTTCTGTTTATTTTATTATGAAAGTATTTCCATGTTGGTAAATACATATCTACATTATTTTTAATGATTGTCCAATTTTACATTGTTTTTAAGAACTATGGACTGTTCGTTATGTTAAACCAGTTTCTTAATGAATAATAATTTATTTTCATTTAATGAAAAAATTCGGATATGTTGTTTATGCACTTTATGATAACTTTATGTAAAAAGGCCAGGTACATCGGGAAAATAATGAAAGAAAATATACCAACACTACAGTAGAAATTTGGTTGGTTTTGGTGAAATTGTGTGAATTTTTTTCTTTATATTTTACAGAGTGCTCGAATTTTCCAACAAAAAGTATTATTTTTAAAGTTATATTTTAGTGATTAATAGGCAAACATCTACATAATAATTGATTGAAAATTAGGACAGAATTAAGAATCAACCAAAGTGAGAATACTAAATTAAATAAAGAATATTAAATTAAAATAAAGCAGCTTCTATGTCAAACTAAATATCTTGTTTGAACGTGTGCTGTCTGAGGACAAAAATGTCTGTGTGTGCACTCTGTTCACAAGCTGTTTATTGTTTAATCAATCACTTTTCTATAGAGCAAATTCATTTGAAACTCATGGTAGTAATGTCAGACTAGAGGTATAGAGCTAATAAGGCTTTTCAGATCTTATCACAGCATCTTTTTGGTATAGCTTATCTCCCTTTTAGTTCTTTAGAGATAGATTATAGTCTGCCTACATTGACTTTTAAGGATATAAAATAACTTGTATTTCTATTTCATTTTCTCTTCTATTTCTTAGCACTTTTTAAATTAATACCATGGTGTGTTTTGTACTTATTTTAGCCATCAAAGTGATATTTTGATCTTGCTTACACGTTTTGGGGGGGAGGGGGTTGTTAATACATGACCAAAATAACCTGTATCTATTATGTAGAAATCTCAGACACAGAAAAATAGTAATACAGAAAACGTAATATTTGTTTTGCAGATGTTCGGTTACTGCTTAATAACGATAATCTTCTCAGGGAAGGAGCAGCCCAGTAAGTATATTTACATGACAGAAGTGACATGGGAAAATGTTTTAAAGGTGGTTTTTAAGCATTAATCCCTGAAATAGATATTTACATATCAAGTTCAGATTTATATAACTGCACATAATTATACATATGTACTAGGCTAGAAGATAAATATTTTTGATCACAGAGAGACATAGAGACACAATTATAACATGAAATTCTCTTATTGTGTTTGGCAATGGCTTATATTCTCAGTACTACATTTTGACTTTTGCAAAGTTGAGTAAAATTATTTTAGAAACTTTGGTTTTTGAAATTGTGATTGCTTAAATTTTTATACAGGTTTTATTTTTGGTTATATGTTTGACCCTAATGGATTTTTGAGGGTTAGGAGTTTATTTTATTCATCCACAAATATCTACCATAGTATCAGACACATATTTACCTAATAAGTATTTACTGGATTCAGAGTGAATGCTTCAGAGAACCAGATAATTCTGAATCCCATTACATGATCTTTGGACCAGTGACCAGAATCATGACTTGCCACAACTGTCTTAAGATTTCAGAGAAATGGTTGATTCTCTTCCCTACCACCACCTCCCAAAATAAAGTCTGGGGACCCATATTTTAGGCTAACCAACTTCATTATTCATTTGAAAATGATATAATTAAACAGATTTTACTGAGAATATTAGAATTCATCCAGTCACCTAATTTCATCCTCCTATACTATCTATATGAAATCCTAACTAATGGGGGAAGTTTGCTCTGATTCTGTTTTTATGACATTTGAAGGCTTTATCAAATACATATCCTGTTTTACAGTTAACCCTAACAAAGGTAGAGTTTCACCAGACTTCTAGGCTTATCTGATTTTGCTTCTGATTTAAATTCCAGTTATTTTTTAATAGCAGTTTTTATTTATTATTTTTTATTGTCAGAAAAACACACATAACATAGAATTTATCATTATAACCACTATTAAGTGTGCAGTTCTCTGGCATTAAGTACATTCACATTGATTGTGGTATAATCATCACTACCATCATCTCCACCACTGTTTTCATTATCCCAAACTGAAATTCTATATCTATTAAGCAATAATTTCTTGTTATCCTCTCCCCCCATCCCCTGGCTTCCACTGTTCTGTTTTCTGTCTCTATGAGTTTGACTTCTCTAGGTACTTCATGTAATTGAAATCATACAGTATTTGTCCTTTTGCGACTAGTGTATTCTTCTTAGGAATTCTAACATGGACGGATGCCTAACAATAACCTAACTACTTTTTCTGGCTATAGTTGCTTCATTTCCTAATTTGTCCTACACACTACTGCCATGTTAATCTTTTTTCACAGTAGTTCTAGGTTCTCCTTTCTCAGAAAGCTGTGAGTATGCTTTGTCTCCCAAATTGAAGTAACTATTCCATCATTTAAGCCTTTCAGTTCAATTCAGCAAATATAACTGAACACCTGCTATGTGTCAGACATTGAGCTTGGTGCTTTCTATGATGTTGGACCTAACCTATCATCTCATGTGTTTTGCTCATCCTGGTCCCTCCAATTGAAATATTCTTCTCTTTCCATCTCTCCAGTTTCTACAAGACCACAGAGACTACCCATTTTTTCAAGACCAATTTTTAGTATCACATCCATTATGAAATCACCTCTAATTCTCTTCTTACCTTGTCTTAACAGAATGTAATTTTTTAAAAATATATATTCTCCATGATGCTTTATTAATCATTCTTTTATGGTACTTTCTACTTTGTCTTATATTTATCAATTACCTCCTCCTATTCAACCGTAAGCCCTTTGATCATAAGATCATGTTTTTTCATCTCTCACAACACCTACTCTGTTTCTTGGTCTGTTGTATACTAAATATATACCTGAATAATCGGATATGTATCTTATAAATGGCTAACCTTTACTTTCAGGATTTTGAATGAAAAGATTAATTATATTTACTGATTTAATTTTCTTTTGCTTAACATTGAAAGCTGGATATCATTCATCAGTTTTAAAAATAGTCATACCTATATAAGATCACTCATGGAGAATTATAATTTTATTTAACTTGCCATTTGACTTTTATTGACAGGTGAGTTGTTTGATTTTTTTAAGGGTATTAAGTAATTTAAAGTAATTGGCCTTTTTCTTTTTTAGTGCATTTGCACAGTATAACTTGGACCAGTTTACCCCAGTAAAAATTGAAGGTTATGAAGATCAGGTATGTTTCATGTAAACACAGGATCTGACTATTCTTTGTTTAATTTATAATGGTTAATATTCTGCAAGAATTGTGAAGTGGTATGTTTAAAGATAAAAAAGTGTTTGTTTTAATCATAACCATTTATGGGTAAAGTAATATTTAGTTTCTTTTGTTGAAATCAATAATGCTATTAGCAGAAAGTCCCTTTTAGAAATATTCAAATGTAATTCTTTTAAGATTTTAGAAAATAATTGCTTTAAATTTACTTTCTTGTTTTTTATAGGGAAAAAAAAAATCCTATATTAATCCAAAATCTAGAATATATATTAGTAAGATTTATATCATAATTTGGTTGCTCTGGAATTCTACAGTCTTCATGTGAGTAACTTAGCATTTAGTAATTATTAAATCTTTTCTTTTCGAAGTGCAAGTTAGAATTGCTAAGCTAAGAAAAGCCACAAAAGGCCACTCACTAGCATTCTTATTTTTTTTTTTATTTTTTTTTTTGGTTTAGAGTTGCTAATAATTGTATTAATTCATATTGTGCTTTGTGAAGCACAATATATATAAAACAATATGAAGAAGAAACTGGCAGGTAGAACATAAGAGTGGTAACAATTATGTTCATAGTAGTAACTGAACTAATTATACATAGTATAATTAATAGCTAATTATAGCAAAACTTATATTTGCTATTCATTACATAATATGTAGTCTTCTAATTACAGGGAGAAAAGAGACTAGACAGAAGATGACTTGTAACTGAAAGGAAAACATAAGCTCATATATGTAGATATGCACGTGTGTATACACATATATAAAAAGCTATATAGTGCTTCATTTTATTAATCTCCTAAATTTATTTTCCTTCTCTCGTGAGATTTTGGTTTTTTTTTTAATTTTTATTTTTTTATGTTATAAACAATGCTGTATTAAAATCTTTGTACTTCTGGGTACATTGATGATGATTTTCTAAAGATAAATCCCTAAAAAGACTCGCTGGGTTTATGGAATGCATCTTTTTAAAATGTTGGATAGCCCCAAATTCATTTTTCGAACCTGTCATAATTTTAATACTTTAATAAAGATAAAACAAAAAAAGAAAATTGTAATCTCACATATGACTATAGATTTTAAAACTTTGACTAGGTATTAAGAAATAGAATCCAGGAATATAGCAAAAGAATAATATGCCAAGACCAAATAGAATGTATTACTGGACTGTAACAATGGTTTCATGTAAGGCAATATATTGTTCTTATTGGCCAGCAAATCAAAGAGAAAAACCTTATATCAATAGACAGTATAAAGGAATTTGAGAAATACAGCAACTAGTCCAACCCTAAGTAAAATGTGGATAGAAAAAAACTCTTAAATATAATAGATTGTTTAACAGAAACCAATATAAATATAAACTACAATTTTAGTTAAAATAGAAAATTAGTCAGGTATATCTACTTATCTCCATTATTATTCCTAATAAATGGAGGTGTAGCAAATACAAGAGAATGAGAACTTTTAAAGCTTTGGAAAAGAACACTTTTAGATAATATGATTTATTTATTTATTTAGAAATACTGAGAGATTTTAGTAAAATTAACCTCCCAACCATGAAAAACTACTAAACTTAAAAGAATTCCATGAAATAGCCGAATTTAAGGTAAGTATACAAAACTCATTAACTTTCCTCTATTGTGGGAAGTTAGTACTTTAAACTAAAATGGAAGAGTTCCATTTTAAATAGTGCTGAAACTATACATTAACCTAGATAGCAAAAGATTCTTTACAGCTAATGTAAGATTAAGTCATAGTAGTATTGTATGGAGTAGACAAATAGATCAGTAGAGCAGTGTATAGAACCAGGATTTAGTTCCAAGATATGAAAACTTTTATACATGACAAGGTTATAATTTAAACAGACATTTAATAAAAGATATTGACACAACTGGTTTCTATCAAGAAAATGTTAATCGACCTCTGTTTCATACAATATACAGAAATAAATTTCAGGTCAATTAATAATTTGTAAAATGACTAAAATTTTAGGAGAAAAAAATCTACATGTGCAAGATAAGGATCATCTTTATAAATAAGACCGGAAACCCAGGAACTATGAAAGAAAAGGTGGACACTTTGCTACATAATAATTATTTTAACTGTAGAATGAAACAGATACCTTAAACAAAGGACTCATAAATTATAAGAAAAAGAAAAGGTAAAAATATTAAAGGATATTTGTTCACAGAAGAGCAAATGGCCTACAACACATGAAAAGATATTTAGATCTGTCAGGAGTCAAAGAAATATAATTAAAGTAATGGGATATATTTTATATCCCTCAGACTGAGAAAAGAACTATGTGCTTCTTGATTGTGATAATGCAAAGGGAAACAGATCTCAAATATTTTTCATAGAAATGTGGTTTGTCACAGCCATGTTTTGGAAAGGAATCTAATTATGTACTTAAAAATTAAATATGTAAACCCTTTACCTCTGTCCTTCTGAGACTCCATCCAGGAGAAATTGAATTATCCAATGGAAGTAAGAACATCAGTTTATTAAAATAAATGTACAGTAATACTTCTTTCAAAATTTTTAATGTATCCATCCCTTCCCCCCAAAAAGAAAACAGCCTGGAAATAAAGAGATGGGCCATCAGTAGTGGAAAAGCAGAATAAATTCTGTTGTATCCACATCGTGGGATATTACGCAGCTATTAAAAAAGAATGGTGAGAGGTATATCAGTTAACTTTGAAGGATTTCCGTAAGGTTTTAATGTTGAAAAAAGCCAGTTGCAGAAAATCAGTGTGTGCATGCACTTTTATTCTGTTGTTATATAACAATGACTAAAATAAAAACCCTATATGCATGTATATGTATACATAGATGTGTATATATTTATATACAGGATTATATGACTGAAAAAAAATAGAGGGAATCATCGTATGTTTGTATGATTTACATCAGAGAGGATAGAGAAGTCTTGACATAGATAAGGAGTCAAAAATGGGGATAGTTGCAAGGAAAGGAAAAAGAGAAATTTTTTTTCAAAACACAATGTTAAATTTATGCATGTGTGATATAAATGTACATAGAATAAATTACATTTTTTAAATTTGGAAGTCAATTGAAAACAATTGTCAATGATTAGCTTATAAAAAACAAGAAGGAGGCACTTCATAGGAGATGAGATTGTGAGCCCAGGAGCAGGATAGGGCATGTTGAGGAGGAGTCTCACTGGATTAAAACCATTCTTGTAAATATCCTCATCAAATGTTATTACTAGTTCCTTAGATTTGAGGAACTGGAGACTGATAACAGAAAAAGTAACTTTTTATAGTTCTCAAAAAAATCAAAAACTGACTCCAGCAGTGTATTAGAAGATGCAGTGCATTTTTTTCCCCCACTGGGTAACTGGAAGTTTTATTAAATCTAATCCACTGCTCTGAGCCGAATGAGAGTAGCCAAATTGTCTTTATAGTCTGCTCATTTGAAGTGTTATAGTTGTGCCATATAATTAAACTAGTTGCTTAGAGTAGAATTATTTTATAGTTTTAAAGAAAAGGCTTAAGCGAATGTATATTAATGTATGTCAGTACTTAAATGTTATTTTAAATACTTATTTTCCAAATTTTATTGCATCATTAAAGGTATTGATCACAGAACATGGTGACTTGGGAAATGGAAAATTTTTGGATCCAAAAAACAGAATCTGTTTCAAATTTGATCACTTAAGAAAGGAAGCAACTGATCCAAGACCATATGAAGCAGAAAATGCAGTTGAATCATGGAGAACTTCAGTAGAAACTGCTCTGCGAGCTTACGTAAAAGAACATTATCCAAATGGGGTCTGCACTGTAAGTCATCAGTGTGTACCTTTTTTCTGTCTTATGTATATTCAACAGTGTTTTTATAATCTGAAATTTACAATAATTTACAGAACTGACATTTTATAACTAATTACCATTATTTTTTTTCTTGAAGTAAATGTTTCTAAGAAATTTTTTTCAAGAAACCCTAAATAGTAAGTTTATTATGATAGCCCAAAATGGAAAAATGGTTGTACCTTGAATTAATTTTCAAGTAGGAATTTTTATACATTGATTAGAATGAGATTCTTTAATCTCATGTTCCTGACTCATCTCAGTAAGTTTAGATGAAACTTCTTTTTATTAAGTTACGAGATCTTAGAACAAATAAAATTATTTGGAAGTGGAATCGTGTCCTTGTGTCTTTTACAGTCAAATTTCTTATGTCTTTAGTGTTTTTTCATAGGTTTAACCTATTTTTATATTCTCAGGATAAAGTATGTTAGAAAGTAGGAGTGTTTTTTTTCTTTTTTTTTTCATAATATTGTGTGTACCTAGATAGGCTTTTTAGTTCCCCATGGTTGGTTTGTGCTTCTATAATCTTCTCCATAGCCAGAGTGATCTTTTAAAATGCCAATCAGATCATGAACATCCCCTGCTTAAAATTCTTCAAAGATTTCCTGTTGCACTTAGAGTCCAGTCTTCTGAACATGGCTTTCAAGGCCCTGTGAACTGGGCCTCTGCCTACCTCTCCAGCCAAAGATGGCTATACATTCTGGTTTATACCTGCTGTCCCATCATAGTTATTAATAGCACCTTATTTCACTCTCAGAAGTTTCCTGGTTAGGATAGACACTCACATGGTCCCTTTAAGTATCTAGCTCTCAATAATTATTTGAAAAATAAAGCAACATAACCTATAATACATTACAAGTTCTTTGAATTATATAACCTTGTTGATTAGGATTATTTTGGAAGAATAACTCAAAAATAAGGTGATTAGGTTAGGTTAAGAGTCCTCATTTATTCCTGGGGAATTGAAAGGCATAGTTTATTCCTTGCTTTTAAAGCAGTAAGCAAGAGGTGAAATAACATCATACCATCACAGGCATTCTCTTAATTAACAGCCTTTTTAGTTAAAAGTAAATTAAGTTTCTCACCTCTATCCAGATACTCTTTAAAAAATGACTAGAGGAATGGCAACCTCTCCGTTGTGAAGTAAACAAAGATGATAATCACAATCTAGATCCAGTTTTTATTTCATGGAAACAGCCAGATTGATATCTATGTGTTTAAATTATCTACACTTCTTATGATACTTGTGTTTGGAATGAAAAGTATGGTATGTCTAGGATGTTTATGAATATTTTAGAATACAATTAGTTTTACTCAATAAATTGTACTTTATTAATTGTGAGCTCTTTTATGATCCGCTAAGCATTTATGATTAGGTGTAATACTTGAGTATGTTTTTCTAGCAACTATATTAGAATGATGATTTGCTTTGGATTCTTTTATACATTCTTGCCAAAGTGCCATACAATTTAAGTATTTTATAGATGTTTAAAGTTGGATATTCTGTGCCCTAACTTCACTCTTGTATTTATTCTCTTTGCCATCAAGGTATATGGTAAAAAAATAGATGGACAGCAAACCATTATTGCATGCATAGAAAGCCATCAGTTCCAAGCAAAAAATTTCTGGTAAGTTAAAATTTTGTATATTGGGGAATTTTGACATTGTTTATATTCTTTGTAAAAGGTTCTTGTTTTATTAATCGGGTCTATACCTCATTTGTATATGATTGACTAAGTGCAATCTAAACATAATATAGAACTTTTGATATAAGAAAGATATCTGCTCCATAATCAGCGTAATCATTTAAAGGTAGCTCTAAATCCATTGACAGTCAGAAAAAGAGTATGAGAGAGCACTGAGTGTTTTTGGAAACTAGTAAGCAGCATCCTAAGGGAACATGTGTGCCTGTGAGCAGACCAGTTGGCAGGCCCATATTATTCTGAGGTGATGGTGTTTCTGAATGGGACTTGTACAGGGGAAGAGGACAGAGATAACTAATTATAAAATGAAGAACTATGGGTTTTTTGTGAACTTTGGGGGCTCTGAAGTAGATAATTTCATGTGGATTATCTTGTGTTTGGTTGGCCAATGTGAAGGAGTAACAGCATATTTTACACAGTGAGGCAAATTACAATCATGTCTTATAATTTTGTGTACAAATCATTTGATTATTCCTTATAAAAGTCTAGCCCCTCAAAGCACTGACTTGCTCTATTAATCTTTGACCTTCGATAAATTGTTATGCCATTTTATTCTTAGATAAGACTGTTTCTGAGATATCTTCTATTATAAATTTCTGAGGCTTTCCAAGACTTTATAAGTTCAACATTAAATGAAATCTTTACCTTTGTTCTTCTTTTTAGTTAGTACATGCTAAGGTAATCAGAGTAAATATGGTCATAATATTTACCTTTTAAGGAGATTAGTCTTTGTCCTGTTAGCCAGATTGGTTGGCGGTATTATTGACAGCAAAGTAACAGGTTATCAATAACCTGTACAGACCAGTTTGGTCTATGGCCCAAGGTTGTTGCACTGTTTAACCATCTTAGAAATAAATGAAAGGTTAACAAGGTGAACAAAGAACGTTTGGAGGAATGCAGATACATTATCACTGAAGGAAAATCAATTCCATGTGTAAACATCTGCCTTAATGACAAGCTACAGTCACCTGAAGATTCTGGTGTACAAAGTTACTTTTATGGATTTAATGTAGTTTCTCCATTTTATCCTAAAAACTTGTAGCTTTAATTTGCCAGGATCCTAAAGATATCTGCACAAAATCACTACTTATGTTATTTGTGCCACAATATGTATAATAAAATCAGACTCATTGAAGTTGAACTACTATTAAAGGAAAATTCTTGTTACTAAGTTTTACTTTAAAGTATATTGGAGATGTTATTATTTATTTTTTTAGCTTTCAAAAACAATTAATTTGAGCTGTAGCATATGTAAAATGATGATGTCTGTCCTTGAGTTTTCTCTTCTCACTATTTCACTTTATATATCTGAATATCTTTTTCTAAACTACCACTATGAACATTATAATCATTGAAGTTAAAAATGATTTCCACTTTTTGGAAAAGACAAAATTAATATGATAGTCCAAAGTGCTACACATCACATATCACAATAATCTCAGTTAAATCTAAATATTTTGGTACAAAGAAATATACTTTAGTACACCAAGAGATAGAATAAAAATCGAAAAATAATAGTCATAGATGCTTTGTAGATTTCACTAGGGACATTCTCTTCTTGGTCTCTACTGTTGTCTTAATGTCTAACAGTATTGGGGGCTTAACAAATGTTTGTTGAATGAATACACATTTGTAATTACAGCATTAATAGAAAAGGGAAGAATATAATTAAAGGTTAAGACATCTTGACACTGTTTACTCCATTAATAAAGGGCTGCTATTTACTAAGCATCGTTTACTGTTACTATATAGTAATGTCTTTGGAAGGATCTTTTCAAATAGTTCTCATATTGGTACTATTATTACTTAATTGGAATTTCCTTTTTTTTCTTTTTTCAATCAGTGGTGATATATGCATATTGTCATCAAAAATCAGAAGTGGATATTGTTAGAACTCACAAATGGTTGATACTGATACCTAAATAAAAGGAATAACTTCTTTTGGGATCATGAAATAAAATGAATAGACCTAGGTTCTTTCCAGCCAAGCTTCTATGGATAATTTTGGATGAGTCACTAAAAATCAAGACATGTCATAAAATTCTCTTTTACTTTGTAGACCATATACACTGTTCTAATAATAGCACTTTTCAAATGTTAAGTGTTAACTTTGAGTATGAGACTACCGTCATTCTACAGATTTTCATGATTGGCTAGACTGCAAGAATGTTGAACTCAGGAATAATTTTACACCAAAGCCAGTATAGTGATCCAGTGACTATTTTAGAAATGTATGCTGTTCAAAAAAACTAACAGGTATAAATTTACATATCAGAATGTCTTTAGCATGCGAAGAGCAAGTAGAGGTCAAAAGAAAAGGAGGTGCTGTGAAATGCTGTCAGAAAAAAAATAGGATAAAATTCATTATCTGGGAGACAGAAATGAATAACGTACCTCTTGCTTGTTTGTAATGTCACAATTTCCTACCATGATGAGTATGTGTTAATTTGTATACCAAAAATCATTTTGGTGGGAAGTAGGAGTATGTGCCTTTTATATAAAAACTCTAAACCTAAAATTGGAAAAGAAAAAAAAATATGATGCTTAAAAACTTTTTATAGCCCTTCTCCTTCCAGATATCAAAACCTCATTAAGAATGATATATTACTATCTATTCTTTTTAAATTTTTTGGTACTTTATATCACTCAGTGGATGTTAAACTGCATTGACTGTATTTGAGAAAGCCCTTGATAATCTGAACATTTATTCAGTTTATTCTTAATTAAAGCATAAGTGAGTCAGTCGAAGAAGTAGCTTAAAATTTTTCTCCAAAAGTAGCTTATATATTTTAGTTTTGAACTATATTTTAAGCTTCAGCTTTGGAATTCTGATATTGCCTCCAGTATATAGGTCCTTTTTTATCAGTAGGGTGGAGATTAAATTAAATATAGTATAACTGAACTTACTAATCTTTTAATTCTTTTTAATATTTCAGTGATTAAAAAATGAATGTCTAGCATCCATCCCCTACATTCTCTCATACTGTAGTGTTAAATTTAAATCTGGAACTTAAAATTTATTCAAATTATTTTCCCTACCTTATTTACAGCTGCTGTTTTTATTTTTAAGGAATGGTCGTTGGAGGTCAGAGTGGAAGTTTACAATCACTCCTTCGACCACTCAAGTGGTTGGCATCTTGAAAATTCAGGTATGAAATTAAAATAATTTGTTTACTGATCTCAGGGTGATTCTGAACAGAAAAATTGCTGGTTCATAAGTTTATATTTACATAATAGGCAGTAGACATTCTTTTCAGATCTTTGTTTTGAGGTAATGGGAAAAATAAGTAGTGTTGATTTCGTCTTTTAAATAACCTTGTAGTTCATTCCCTTGTCATCAGAAATCTGGAAGGATAGCTGACAGATTCTAAAAACACAGCTAAAATTAGATGCTACCATCTGTTCTGCTCTTCATATAATTTGTTCATACAAGCATCTTCTGAGTTTGAGTTGTGCTGCTGTCTTCTCAATTGGGTGGAGTTGGGTGAAGTATGATATTAATATATGTGTGTTTAGATGTATAAATGTACTTATTATATATATGTTAATATGTGTACATAGTACATCTTGCAAATATCTGCTGCACCCATATTTGGCTTCTTATGTGAAACCCGTTAGAACTGAATTCTTTGACTTTTAACATAAGCTCAAATGTTTATATAGAAGAATACCTGATAACTAAGACTACGTATTTCAATATAAATATTACTAAATAAGTTAAAGAAAAATACTGACTAATATTTTTCTATCTCGGTTCATAAATTCAATACATTTGTTGATCAGCTATCATGAAAGATACTGTTCTAAGAGCCATAAAGGAATAAAGACAAATCATGATGCAGCTCTATCATCTAACTTTGTATACATTTCTAGTCTTATATCCTGTTATTTTATGTATTGGTGACTGTTCCTTAGGAGCTAATAAGGAAATGAGGTTTAGAGCATGGACTGCCCAAGTGAATACCAGCTCTGCCAGTTATTAGTTGTGTGACATCAGAAAGTCATTTAAGCTCTTTTTGTTAGTTTCCTCATCAGCTAAAAGGAAACAACCTCAATAAATAAGCTCATATGGGTTGTTTAAAGATTAGTTAATATGGGCAAAATGGTTAGAATAGAGACAGACATAAAGTGCTTGATGAATAGTAGCCAATTTTGTTGACATTTTTTCCTTCAGTTAGGCCTCAGCAGCTCTTACCTGGATAATTTTTGAAATGATGTCCCTGTTGGACCAAAGCTTGTTGAGAGCTAGGATTATCTGTTCACAAGTCTATCTTCAGCACGTAGCATCATGCCTGGCATATAATTGTTACTTTATTTTGTGGCCTTGCCGGACTTTGCCATTCCCTTATCCCTTTTTTTTTCACATTACCATCAAGAAAGATGATTTTTTTTTTCACTTAAATCTGCTTATGTTACTTGCCTATTTAAAACCATTTTAGAAGTACACTCTCATCTAGTAGATAGTCCACACATTTGTATGGCATACAAAGCCCAAAGTTGACTTATTCCCTACCTATACAAATTTCTCCAGCAACTCCTTTCCTTCCCTGACCTCACGCACATTCCACCCATAAGTACCTACAAGCCTTCCTAAAGTATGCTGTTCTCTAAGCTTGGTTTCCTTATCTTTTCCGGCTTGATTGTCATAGTCATTTTGCTAAACCCAAGTACAGTAAGTGCAGTGTTGCCTCTTTTCTGAAGCCCTTGTTTATAGTGCTCAGAGAGAGTCTGGAGTATTGCTAAAGTACTTTTACCTGCCTCTTACTATTGTGTTGAAATATGAGGTCAAAGACTATCTTTTTAAAAGCTATGTGTCCCTAGAACCTTAGTAGGAGGCATATATAGTAATTAATTAATGTTTATTGAATAAATTCATGTCTTTGAATTTGAGGAATTAAATGATTTGTTGGAAATGCACGAAAGAGGAGGCATGTTGGAAAGGGAATATTGTGAGCTTGCTTTTGGAAATCTTGAGTTTAGGTATCAGTAGAATATCTATGAGGTAAAAATGTCCAGCGATCAGGTCAGTAGAGGGCTTGCCTAAGTAATCATGAGAAGCGCTAACCAGTCTCTTCACTAGACTGAGGGCAAGGAGAGTCTTGCTGGAGTTTGAAAGGTCAGGAGCTCAGCAGAAAAGTCTAGGTTAGAGCTGAAATTGGTAGTCATCTGCATTGATGTGACTGTTGAAGCCACGAGGATCTTAATGGTTCCTATTTATAATATGGTTTCTGTGATTTCTATTTCTAATAGGTTCATTATTATGAAGATGGTAATGTTCAGCTAGTGAGTCATAAAGATATACAAGATTCTCTAACAGTATCTGTAAGTAATTGATTCTAAAATAAAATTTAAACAACCTAACTTCTATAAAACCAGAACAGTTTTGGAATTAACATTTTAAGTAATATTTCTGCTTCGGATTAAAGTGTTTTTGGGTAGATTAAAAGATGGTAAGTAATGGAAATTGGTACCTAACTTTCTTTTAGCAGCTGTATTGAGGTATAGTTCATATATCATTCAGTTCATCCCATTAAAATGTGAAATTCAGTGATTTTTAGTATGTTAACAGGATTGTACAGCAATCACCACCATCTAATTAAGAATATTTTTGTCCTCCAAAAATCCTGTGCTAGTCACTCCCCATTCTCCCCCACCAGCCCTTTCCCCAAGCGCCTCTCAGCTCTAGTCAACTTTCTGACTCTGGATTTGCCTATTCTGGACATGTCTTATAAATGGAATCCTAAATACAAGGTTTTCTGTGACTGACTGACTTTCACTTTGCATGTTTTCAGGGTTTATCCATGTTGGAGCATGTGTTGGTATTTCATTCCTTTTTATTGCTGAATAATATTCCACATACTGCATTTTACTTATGCATTTATCAATTGACGAACATTTGTGTTTTCTACTTTTTGCTGCTATGAATCTTCATGTGCTAATTTTTGTGTAGACATTTGTTTTACTTTCTCTTTGGTATATATGTGGCAGTGGCATTGCTGGGTCATGTGGGAGTTCTGTGTTTAACCGTTTGAAGAACAGCCAGGCTGTTTCCAAAGCGGCTGCACCATCTTACATATTAGTTGCATATGAGAGTCCCAGTTTCCTCACATCCTCACCAAAACTTATATCTGTCTAAGAATTTTATAGTTTTAGCTCTTAAATTTATATTCATGATCCTGTACTTAACTTTTGTTCATACTGTATGCTTTTTTTCCCCTTTATCTATTTGGGTTATGATTTAATAAAGTTTTTCTGAAGTTCAGCTTTCAAATTCAAGAATATTTGAACTTGGTTTTATTTCCCTGCAGAGTTCTTTTATACATTCTTTCCACTGCACATGCAATTATTTCTTTGTGGAATTTTTTTGCTCCAGGGATATTAATAATATAACATTAGCAATGACATTTTATTCCCATAAACATTTGTGTATACCTAAAAGTACCAGTATATTTAAACATTAACTGCTAATATACAAAATTAGCTAACCTACAAATAATGAGGAAAAGTTTATTTTTAATTCAAGAAAGCATTTGATTTAACATTAAGAAACATGTATGAATGTGGTAAGTCAGATGCTACCTAAAGAGAAAGGTGTATTTTTTAAAAGTTTTTATTAGCACTAAGGTGATTTCTGCTTTTTTGTTAAGTAGTGCTCTTCTTATAAAATTTGCCTGTAAAAGAAACTTAAACGTCTGTTTTCCATGAGACATTGTATTCGATGTAGTTCTGTATCATGAGCATAAGCATAATTTTATTTGTATAACAGGGTACTTGGTATTATCTTCTTTGGAGAGTTTGACATCGAGCAAAGATTCTTAAGAGAAATTTGTCTACAAAATTTTAGACTGTGGAGTTGTAAGAAGTGGTCGTAATAATTAAACTGACTAATATGTCAGTTTGTGCTGAGATTTTTAGGAATATATTTTTCACTTTATCTTGTAGGATTTTCATTGTTGTTTTATTGTTTTTAGATGAAAAATGCACCTATTATCAAAATATAAATATATTTGTAAATATATAATAGTTTACCCTTAAACAATATAGAGGTTAAGGGGACCAACCCCCCTCACAGTCAAAAATCTGCATATAATGTTTGACTCCTCAAAAACTTAACTGGAAGCTTTCCAATAACATAAATAGTTGATTAGCACATATTTTATATGTTGTATGTATTACATACGGTATTCTTACAGTAAAGGAAGCTAGAGAAAAGAAAACATTAAAAATCATGAGTTAAAGAAAATACATTCACAATACTGTATGTATGTGTTGAAAAAAATCCAAATATAAGTAGACCCACACAGTTTAAACCCATGTTATTCAAGGATCAGCTGCAAATAATATATATAAAATAAGGTCTTTGAGAATTTTACATTAACATTGTTTTATAAAAGAATCTAGACTTTCATTAACATTTACTATTAGGAAAAAAGCAAACTCATATTTAAAAAGTTAAAAAAAATTTTCCAATAAACATTTAAAGACTATAGTAAATTCACCTTAAACTTTAAAATATGCTCATTCTATTTGGTAAATTTTTTTAATATATCATTATGGTGGTAAATATTGTTCTGTAAATTTAACAATAATCAAATATACTCATTTATTAGGAACCTATGACTAATGTCTTACCTGCAAAGATTTTCTATCAGAGTGCATGTTAAATGTCTTGAGTTTTTCAGCAATGTGTATTATTAAAATTTTATTTTCCTTAACCAGTGGAACATTGAGACCAGCTTCAGTCTATAGACTTTTAAAATATTTTTACTCGGTTCCCCTCAGACTTAGAACAATTGATCTTACAGTATTTTCCCTTTATTTATTGTAATTTTCATCTTATTAAATTATAACAAATTATTATCCATATATATCAACATATTTATTTAAAAGTAATAGTAGATAGTTTTAAATTACTATTTTATTTTTGGTTTTGTTTTTTATTCAGAATGAGGTGCAAACAGCAAAAGAATTTATAAAGATTGTAGAAGCTGCAGAAAATGAATACCAGGTACGATTTTCAAAAATATTATATAATCTATATTTGCTTACAAATAATGGCACTGAAATTTTAATTTCAATTATTAGATTTAATTTTTTCACTATAATAAGATACAGTCTTTTTTTGTTTGCTTGTTCAATGTTAGTAAAGGACAAACTTGTGACAGTGTGGCCAAAACTCAGTTTTAGCCAACTACAATTTCAGAGTATTTGTCAGAATGTACCAAAATTTTAAATGGTTATTTTGTGTCTGGTTAGAAATTTTCATTTAGGTTGTGTTTCCCAAAGCATTTAGGTTATGTGTAATCTGATTAGATGATATTAAATTTTCTGCATTTTATGTTATACACTCTTGAACTTAAGCATTTAATTTGTTGATTGGACAAGTTTCCACTCCTTGCAAACAGTAATTTATGGAATTATTCCGTGAGAAATAGTAAAATAGATCCAAAATAAGGACACACAAATACTAACTCTCATTTACAATTTCATTTCCTTGAATTTAATTATTCAAAATGATTATATGCTTTTTTTTCTAGCTGCTTTTAAATAGTTTTTTAAAACCAGGTTGAGGTTTTTATTTGGCTTTTTAAAAGCAATGAAACAGGCTGCTTAAATAAAGTTTTTTCTTAAAACATCTATGTGTTTTATAAATTGTTATGTTTCTTTTATGCCTTTAAACTTTTAACTACTATTTTTCATAGACTGCCATCAGTGAGAATTATCAGACAATGTCGGACACTACTTTCAAAGCCTTACGTCGACAGTTGCCAGTTACACGCACTAAGATTGATTGGAACAAGATCCTTAGCTACAAGATTGGCAAAGAGATGCAGAACGCATAAGATGAACATTGCATGATCGGATCATTTTAGTGTCTTTGCGTTTTAAAAAAATCATTGCAGACGTATTCAGAACTGTCAAGCTGCCCAGTCCAGTGGGCTATTGCCATTTAAAATCACTGTAATTAATTAGTTTGGTTAGAGCACAAAGCTTAGCTAATCAACCATTATTTTTCATTTCTTTTGTTCAAAGAGGATTGAAAATCAGTTTAGTTTAAATGTCTTCACTTTCTGTTATGCCTTTCTTACGATGAAGAGATGATTTCTCTAGTTTAATGTTGTTTTTGAAGTGTTTCAAAAATATTTTACCGTAACCCTAAAATTGTCTTTTGGTTTATGAAATGGGTAACTTTTGATATTCGCTCAGTTCTTTTAATGAGGTCAGTAACACACATTCTAGTGTAAGGTGGTTGATGGATTTAGCCATGTATGCTGCTAAAGAAATTGTCTACCTTTTCCCCTCACCTCTTCCATTTATGTAAGATTGAGATTAGAGGAAAAGCATTTTCTATATTGATTGTGTTTAAACCTTTCAAGAAGATTATTTAGCTAGCTTAGTGTTTAACTAAACTTTTTTTAAACAAGGCCAACGTCTAATGCTGTTTTGAGATTCTGGAATTAAATGAGAATACTTATTTCAGAAATGCATTTAATGCTTTTTTCTTGTGACAGTTAACGCAAATTAGCTTGAATTCCATATGTTCCTGAGTTATTTTTATCATAAAGCCACAAATGTATTATAACAAGGCAAATTGTAATATATATAATCCTGAACTCATGACCGTGTCTCAGTTTATTTTTTTTTCTTGGATTGAAAAGTACTGAAATTCAATGTAACATTAAAATGAAAATTTTTCTATTTATTTGAGTAGAAAATCACTTACCAATGGGTCATATACTATTTTAAAATACTTTTCTTTGGATATTGTGATTCTTAACTGGTTGTAAATTAGAAAAGCTGGGAATACATATGGTATGCAATTACAGTCTAAATTTTTCCATCTTCCTATGCATCATACGCATGTTTGTAATATTTTAAAAAAAAATACATTTACTGATGCTACAGGTATTTCAAGCCTGTGGTGAATGTTAGTATTAATAGGGAGTGGGGTGGATTATGGTTTCATTCAATCGAGTATCGCTTATACTCCAATGGAATCCTTTCCTCACATACTCCTGCAGATGTCTGGGCCTGGAAATGTTTTTTAAAAAACACCACTTTTATGTACAATAAAATATTTCATTAGCTTGAATTGTATAGATTTTTTAAATTCTCTAAATGAAAGCATGTTTAATTTCTTTTTAAAAATCACTGTTGGGCTTTGAAAGGATTGAGAATATAATACGAAATTATGACATTTTTGCTTAAATTGTTTTCTCTAGTTTTAAAATACAAGTTTTGCCATATGGGGATTCCTAAAGAAAATTAATTGAAAAATTTAAGTCATTTTCAAAAGTTTGATGATGATTCTTAACTAAATACTAGATGAATCGTTAATCGATTAGCTCAGTCATATCAGTTGGGCTGTCATGGGTTTGTATCGCCTGAAGATCAATTAATTGCTTTGGCTCTGTTTTATAGCTAGAATGTTTTCTTGAAAATACATGCAGTTATTTTTATGATGATGTGTATGTGAAAGGTAATATTTACCAAAATAATTCAGAACACAGTTTGAAATAAGGTTTGTACAATATAGTAGCCTTCTATGGTCTAAGAATGGCATTTTATTAATGTGGAAGAATGGAAACTCAGAGCATCTTAAAGCACAGTGGTGTCGTTTTAATAGGTCAGGAGCCCCATCTTGGATTTCAAGGGGAAATTTCATGCTGGAGACTTCTGGTTGAGGAGTGCTCTGGGCTTCTAGAATGGGAGAGCGAATGGGTCTGGGAAACAGTCTGAATGCCAGGTAAAATAAAGGGTTCCTCAAGGCTAGTAATAATGAATTTAAAGTGAAATCAATGAGTATGGCTTTGTTTTTCTTTAGCCATATAAAGTTGGCGTGGGTACAGGCATAGAGTAGATGAATTTAACCAAGATTGTGGTTTTGCCAAGAGAATATGATTTGACAAACTTGACTGACCACATGGAAAGAGGGGACAAGGTTACGATAGTCTGTGGAATTTAGGTGAGCAGGCAAGTGAGGATGTGATGGGAGGGGAGAGATAGTGAAAATGGGGCACAATCAATGGATCGTTGACATAGGAAATGTCCAAACCTATAAAGAATTGTATGAGTTTATTTGAGCCAAACTGACAATTGCCGGGAAGCAAGATCTAAATGCTCCAGAGAATGAGAGTTTGCAGTCTATTTTATGCATTTGAAATTAATGAGGGAATTTAAGGAAGATTACATGATTACAAGACGGGGATTGGATTATGGATAGTTAAGATTATGTGCTCTCTTGAGGGTGGTTATTCTGGCATTTCAAAGGTGTGTTAACCTAGATGCACAAGAACAATGGACAGGGCTGACTTAAAAACCTTTTCAGTAAAAAAGTCACATGTCTGGGGCATGACTCCCCACAAGGGCCTTCCCAGTTAGGAGTTTATGATTTATTACAGGAGTTTTTGATTTACTGTTCTCATCCACAGGATTATAGGTATATGAGAGCTGGGATCCTAAAAAGGAATAATCTAGAAATGTAGGAAATGGTGGCAAACGTTGTGCGCTTAAAAATGAGATTTTCAAGGAGTTAAAGGTATTGGTAATGACTTGTGTGACCAAGGAGTTCAGCAACTGTGAAGCCTAAGGTTGCTGAGAATATTGAAATAATGACGATAGAGGTAAGTGTTCTGACGTGAATGCTGTTTTTGTAGATTATACCTGTATGTGCATTTCTAATACACTTGTATGAGTTAGATAAATCTGTGATACAGATACCACAAGACTTAATCTCATTCTGGATTTTGGAAACTAAACCGAGAACAGGAGCATTCGAAGAAAGGCATCCTAGAAGTTCTGGTTCATTGCAAATGTTCCTGAAAAGTGAAATTCTTAGGAAAATGGTTAAGCACAACTATAGATAATTCTATAATGTCAAGTTGTTCATTAGGTGGTCTGTTTAGGTGGTCCATTCTGTGGTTAAAATCATTTTTGACTTAATCACACCAAAAGCTTTGGAAGAATGCAAGATCCTTTGAAAAGATCTTCCATACTGATAATCAGTTGTGCCTTTGCCAGCAAGTAAGTGTAAAATATAAAGGCATATTTTGCCAGCAGTTAACACAGATGTTTCATAATTGCATGCATGTTGTGAAACATCCTGAGAAGAATGTGTATTTCTGTTCACTTCTCTACAGTAAATTATTTAAAAGAATTGCAGTGTGCTTGTTATTTCTAAATTATAGTAATTTTGGCCTTGAAACAAAACTTTTTAAAGGCAAAACTTTTTATAGGAATTTTCAAAGTTGACATTCTTAGTATTATGTAAAAGCTTTGTTAGTGCTAATGGTTGGAAAAGATGCAAAATATTCACCAGTTAACCAGTTAAACTTTAAAGGTCTAATTGGTATTAGAAATTAATGTCAGGTTGTTCTTGATTAATCACACTGTGTTCAGGGGACCACTTCTAGGCATTGAGGAGTCAGGAAAATATGAAACTGTTTCTTAAAGTTCTCTACAAAGTAGTCATGGGACTATATAACAGTGTTTTCCAAACTTTTTCACATCACAACATAGATAGAAAATGATATTTGTAAGGTACTCTGGAGGGAATGGACGAGGCGATTTGCCAACTGCCCTATAAGCTCAGTGGACCAGTATCTTCGGTACACCTTTAGAGAAGCGTGCTGTGGATAACACATATAAAATACTTTAGATTTTTTACAAGATGTTCTTCAAGCCTAACTTACTAAGGTAGCTTTTAAGGGGATGTCAGGCCAAGGAAGATTTCCTGCAAAGGATTAAGTATGCTTGTATGCAACTAGTAGGCAGGAAATTCTCTTGTATCTAAATGAAGCATCAAAGGTTTCTAGTAAAGCTCCTTCTGATAGATACACATAGTCAAATAGCATTAAACACATCACAGTATAAAATGAATAAACACACAAAGGATAAAGCTTAACACTTCTTAAAAACTCATGAGCCAGATCTTCATGTAGCAACATGCTATAAATATTGAGAGAAAAAAGCAAGTTGTGAAAAGGTAAGTACAGTACAATATTTTGAGTGTAAGTCATTTTAATAGCAAATGTATGAGACATGCGATGGAGGGAAAAACCAAATCAGGATCATATATGTGTGGGGAGGAATAGAGGAATGGGATTGGGGAACAGAATAGAGGGCTTCAATCGTATCCGTAAGAATATTTCTTAAACTGGGTGATACAAGTATTCACTACAACATTCTCAATTTTTATATCTGATATAGTTTGTAAGTTAAAATATTACACAACTTAGGCAGACACATTGGAACTATATGAGAAGGAAATATATACAAAAACTTATTAGACCCATATTGTACAATAGATTTTATCAAACTTTCCATATACAGATCATTTCAATGTTACAGAAATTATCCTAGATGGTAAAAAAGATGGGACTTTGTTATATGAAACTAGCATAATCTTAAATAGGAATAGCACCAAAAGAAGAAAACCATTGATGAAACTTCACTCTAAAGAGCAAAAATTCTTAATATAGTAATAACCAAAATATACTACAATGTGACCAAGTACAATTTATCACTGCAATACAAAATTGTTCTTTCTTAGCAAATCTAATAATGTAGTGTACTACATTTGCATATTAAAGGAGAGGAACATGTAATCCAGTAAATACCATTAAAACATTTCAAAATTTTTGTACTCAGTTCTGATTTTTTAAACACAGCATTTCAAATCAGTGGAGTAAAGATGAATTACTCTATAAATGGCATTGAGACGACAGAGTAGCCAGCAGAGGGGGAAGGGAAAGTTAAATTGGATCCATACCTCACACCTTACATAAAGTTACAATTGGATCAAAGATTTAATGGTAGAATTATCAAAAGTTCTTGAAGAAATCATGGTTACAATTTTTAAAAATTTCAGAGTATTTGACCTTTCTAAGACAAAATCCTCAAAATCCATACAATAAAAATTGATATATTTGGCTTCATAAAAATCAAGATTTTCTACGTGGCTTAAAACACTCTAAGCAAAGTCAAAAGACAAACCATCCACAGGAGAAAAATGCAACTTATTTGACAAATGGTTGATTTTCCTAATGTCTAATGAGCACCTACAACACAATAAGAGTCCAGGAGAAAAATTGGAAAGCAGATCCTATGAAGCCTGAGCCCCTGACATGATGGAGAGCCTCACTGTCTCTGCCTGCCCACTCGGACTTTGAGAAGTAAACATACCTTGTTTAAGCCACTGCTGTTTTGGCTTTTTTCCCCACTCTTTTAATTGTTCATGTTTGCCTCCCATCCTACTCAGAATTTGGGACCAGAGATGAGATCCTACCAGTAACAAAACCTAAAACGTGGCACTAGCTGAAGGCCATGCACATCAATGGGAATTCTGCTGACACTAATACAGTACGATGTGTACACTGCACTCCATCACCTCTGCCCCCAGGCACCAAGCGCCACTAACATCTAATCCTGTGACAATCAAAAGTAACCCCATGGAGGAAGGGAATATTACTGAACTACTGTCTAGGGTGGTACAGTAAGGCATAGATATTGCAGGCTGGAAAGCCGGTGACTTAGGCAAAGACATTGAAATTCTTGCCTTAGGCTGAAGATAGCTACTCTACAGGGTGAGGTGGAAAATGGGAGGAAGCAGTTAATAACTGTACGTAATCCCTCCTCCCATGTCTGGGATGCCTGAGAACCCAGTTGCAGGATCACATCTCGCAAAAATTACCATGTACTAATTACTGATCCAAAAAAGTTCCCAAGTTCACTGAATCTGTTAGGGTCGTTCATTTTCTCACATGTAATTTATGGACTGCAGGTGTAAAATGATAACACCAACAGGACATAAGGTTGAAAGCAGAGATGACGATAAGGGTATTATTGCCTTCCTGTCAGTGCCAAGCTGATTGAGAAGGGAAGGTTCGATGGTGAGAAGCCCAGTTGGAAGAATGCATGAGGGGTTGACATGAGAATGAAATGGCAGGCACCAACTTTAGTGTGAGGAACACACTTCTGCTGCGCTGCTGCTTCTGCTCTCTAGGGGACCGCATGAGCTTTTTTTATATGTCAGAGAACAATAGTGGCATTCAGCCACACATGCGTAATACAATAAGCTGAGTCATGCTTACA